GAGCTAGAGCCAGAGACAACCTAACAGGACATTAATGCCTGCTGAACTGCAGGGAAAGGTAATCCAGATTTTCCATCTGACAAGACATGGTGGGGGGTGTGAACTCACATCATGTGGACTAGTGTGTGACCCTGTGTGAAACAAATGTGTGTGTCTGTGTGTCTGTGTGTCTGGCTGCCTGCCCCAAGGAGGTTTTGGCCGATAGCCTGACACAACCAGTGATTCCTGTGCAACTCCCATTGAAGGAGAACTTAGGACCAGCTGGGGTCCACTCTAATAAGGAAGTGGGACTTTATTCCACTGTCCCCTGCTGACAGACGGACACACAAACATACGCAGACATACAGTACAGCTACGTCATGGGAGATGGTCTCAGGAGCTAGCAGCTGGCTATAGCTCCAGTAGCAAATATGAGAAACACAAGTGGGCCTAAAGGCTTTGAGGTGGTTTAAAGAGGAACCAGACTCTGGTCTTTTTAATGGCGGAGCAGCAAAAAGTAGAATTATTCACTTCACGTTGAGATGAATGCCACCCTTTTTGTTTTTTTGTAACATTTGTACTTTAAAAAAATGTATTTTATCTTTTGTTTACAAAGGTTTTCCCCATAGAAATACATGAGATTTCTTCAGGAAAAACAAAAAAAAAAAAACGGTTTGAAATCTGTCTCAGCAAACTGGCTCTATTTTTCTACTGTTATGCTGCTTAGCTAGCCTTTTGCAACTTTTAACTTATATCATTCTGCTTTTAGCTTTTAGCTAGGCTTTAGCAACTTTTCGTTTTAAGCTAGTATTTTGCAATTTTTAGATTTTTCGATAAACTTCTGCCACTTTGAACTTCAAGCTGTTGTTTTCCCACCTTTTAATTTTGTACCAGTCTGGTGTTACATATATACCAATTTATTTCTAGAGCACTTAAACAGCAACAAGGCTAACCAAAGTGCTGTACAATAGAAACAAACAAGCACTTACAGCTAATGTTTTGCACTTTTTATCTAGTGGTTTGCATCTTTTGGCTTTTAGCTAGCATTTTGGTTTTTTTACTTGTAATTAGTGTTGTACTACTTTTAGCTTTTAGCTAGGTTTTAGCAACATTTAGCTTTAAGCTACTATTTGTTTTTGTTTTTTTTAATTTAGGGTTTTAGATAGGCTTCAGCCACTTTTAACTTCTAGCTATTGATTTGCTACCTTTAACTTTGTACCAGTCTAGTGTTTCATATAGGTAATGTTTTGAATCTTTTAGCTAGTGCTCCGCATCTTTTGGTTTTCAGCTAGCATTTTACTACTTAGCTAGTGTTTCATTCCTTGAAAGTTTTTGCCAGCTTTGTTCTCCTTTTAGCTCTTAGCTAGTGTTTTGATCTTTTTAACTAGTAGTCTGCATCTTTTGGGTTTTAATCAGAATTATTATTATTACTATTATTGCTTTTAGTTTGTATTTTGCTGTTTTGAGCTCTTAGCTAGTGTTTTACATAATCATATCTTAGATGTTATTATTGTTTTTCTTTTACATTTTATTGCTGGATGTAACTGGAACCCTGTGTACATAATTTCGTTCCACCACATGTACATGTGGTGTGAACAACAATAAAGAATCTTTGACTCTCTTTTTTTTTTTAGCTAACATTTTAGGACTTAACCAGTGTTTTGCTCCTTGTATCTCGTAGCTAGCGCTCTGCTTCTTTTAACTTTTAACAGCTCAGTGTCTGCTTCTTCAGCAGATTTCAGCAGAGTCTATCAGAGCTCAGCGACCTTAAATTCTTTCCCTGACAAACACGACACATGTTTATCTCGTGGGAACTCAACGCCCAACAAATAATTTATGAAATCTTCAGCTCTGCTCTTTTAGGATCAGCACTAATGAATGGGAACGTTTGCTATGTGAAACCAAACTGAAACAACCCATGAATTCACGATAAGCTCCCCCTCTCCCCCCAACATTCTCAAACACTGCCTGTTTACTTATCTCCCATCATGCATCTGGCCGGAGTGACTGAATGTAACACATTAAGCCCGCAGTTCACCAAACCTGTTCTTAATCCACTCAGACATGTTCAATGATCAGCCCAATCTTTAACCTGGGGGTCTCAGGCAGAACAAATAAGGTGATCTGGAAGCACGCGTCGCATCAGCTTAGCCAAGCGGCTGTACAACGCATCGATTACTTCATCCCTGATTGACCGCGCAATGGGGCGTGAGCCGGTCCGAGCCACGCTTCACTAAGAGGGAACAATTCCCAAGACTCCTCTCTGCCTACAACGGTCTGTCAGTCTCTTCTCCTCCCCTTGAAGTCATGTTTGTTTTATTAATTGCTTATTGTTCCAAAAAGTTCCCCCAGTCTTCGAAGGATGTCTATTTTTGGTAACTCATCTGGAGCGGAGAGGTTCAGATATCCTGACCTTTCTTCATGGCCTGCTGGTGGTGGAATGGTTATGGAAGATACAGTTGCTGTGCCAAACTGGAAACTTCATAAGGATCTGTTTCATTCAAATGTAGCTTTTTAAGCTTCTTTAAAGCAGGCGTAGGCAACATATGGCTGGAGGGCCAAAAGTGGCCCATGGACAATTTCCATCTGGTCCCAAATATCCTTAATTTAAGTAACAACATTTTAATTAATGCGTGAAAACCTGAATTTTGTTAATTAAACTTAAGGAAGTCCAAATTTAACATATTGGGCAAAAACATCAGACATTTGGATTCAACTAGGCTAAACATTTATTTATTTATTTGTTGTATTTCCAGAGCTAGACTGAACCTTAAAGACACTAAAAAGCAAACATATAACATCATTTTGTTAACAAATATGTTGTCACAAAAGCCATTTTACAGAAAGTATGTCTTATGTCACATGTGTCAAACTCAAGGCCCATGGGCCAAGTTTGGTCCTCATTAACATCTTCTCTGGCCCCCAAGATGATATTTTTAATGTAAAATATTTTATTGCTTACCGTATTTTGCTTAAAAATGATAAATATTTAATTTAATGTAGACTTTCTAGTTAGATTTGCCAGTATTCTTTGATTTTGATACTGAAAGAGCAACAGAGAACATCAATCTCTTGTTGTTGCACCTGCAGCCAATAAAATCAAGAATATCTGACTTGAGTTAATGTATCGACTGAAATTGGCCAGATGCTTGGACCTAGTTTTGAATTTGGCCTCCTTTTGTAACAGAATTTGACTCCCTTGTCTTATATTCTTAAAAAGAGTATTGAACAGACATACTTTTTAATCAAGCATGCTAACTAAAAATGTCTTAGAGATTATCTGTGTTTAAAAAGAAATTCCTATTCTATATGTGGCTTTTTGATTGCTTTAAATATTGTGATTCGGCCCTCTGGAAAAAAAAAAAAAAAAAATTTTGTTGTTGTTTTTCTGTTGCTTTTGCAGTTTAATAAAAGGGAACAATTTTACCTGAAACTGTTAGGTTGAATGTTATCAACTGGATCCTGGCCAATATGGAAATTTTGACTATCGCCAATATCAATGACGACCGACAATGACCGATATTATGGCTAATTTTTTTTTAGCTTTGCCCACTCCCAAGAATCTAAGTCAACTGCGAGTGGAGCAGGGCTTGTTTATTTAGTGCAGCTGTTGGCAACCATGAAGCTAAGCAAACCAGATCTACGCTATACTTGGTCCCACAGTAGGTTTGCAAGTGGTGCACTGGTCATAAAAACAGTCTTCCAAACATGCATTCACATTTTCTATCCTCCACTATTCACCATAAAGTTATCAAGTATGTTACAAAAATATAAATTACGCAAAGAAACGCCCTTCTCTGTTCACAGTGTAAACAGTCAGTCACGTATGGTAAAGGACCGCAGTCGCATTTGATTTCTTGCACAGAAGTAACGATTTCAGGCAAACGGTGCATTTCGTTGAGGAAGACAAAGAAAGCGTTACTAAAACTGATATTTATTTACCACTACGTTAGATTTAATGTGCTGTATAAAGTTTTACAAGGCAACAGCCTGTGCTAGGTTCTTTAAACGTTAGCTTGCTAACTTGAGAAGCACATAGCTAATGACAAGCAGGTTGGAGGATTGAAGAGAATTTATTATTGTTGATTTGTTTTTACAAATCAGTTAAAATAAACATACCATGCTCTGTATTGCTCCCTGTTTCTGTATTGCTCCCTGTTTCATCTGTGTTGAATGTGAAAGTGAAACTTAATTTAATGGCAATGACTTGAAAGTTGTCTTCATGCGCCCTTTGTTGGATACATTTACAATTACAGCTGGTTCCAGCATTTTAGGGGTGAGAGTTAGAAGCGCTTATATTGGCGCAGAATGGGACAATTATCATCGATCCTGATAAGTCCCCAAACGTCTATATCAGCCAAATCTGTTGGACGACTGGCAAGGCCCAATGCAGACATGTTCCTGTTTTTAGTTTCCTACATTCGCCTTATAATCTAGCTGTTTTTGATACTTTTTTTGGCCATCTTATTTGTAAAAAAGAAAATCTGTATGCCTTTTTATAACTGTTTATTGTTGTCGCTGTTGTCATCATTCTTTGTTGAAACCAGGTTTCTCTTGTAAATGAGTCCTCGAGGCTCAATGGGATGTACCTGTCTAAATGAAGGTTGAATGAAAAATGATCGGCCCTACCAATATATCGGTCGGGCTCTACTATCAACAATGAAACTAGCATTCCTTGCTAGCCAAATGTCTTTAACAAAGATAATGTATGATGTGGTAGTACTCAGAGTATGTGTTGGGGATGACTCTCCGCTACCACCACATCAAACTTTAGCTTACTATGTGCAAAACCGACTGCGTTTCAAACGTTTTTGTGTTTGCTAAGATCATGAAGCTGTGGGGACCATCTTGAATATGGTTAACAAATCCAATGATTACTTTCTGAGAGTTTCTTTAAAATCCACTGTGGCTCATGAGATATTTTACCCCCCCCCCCCCCCCACACACACACACACACACATTGGCAGTTACATTATTGCTCTCCTTTCTTGTCTTTCATGTTTATTTTTCTGTGTTTTTAGGTTCCTGATGTGTGATGGTGGCCGTGGCCGGCTCTGACGGACGCTGCTTGTTGCCTCTTGTTATAATATAAATCCAGGGGCAGGGGACCAATCGGACTCCAGATCCTGGAGCAGCGCACCGTCGGTGAGTTCATGGCTCAGATTTGGTCCAAACAGGCAAGGATGGGAGGTGTCACCTGTTTCTTTTTGTCAGAATGAGGGAAATGGTCACTCTTCTGAGGACATCAGCTGGAATTAACAGAACCACAGAGCCATATTGACACTGATCTATTATCTGAGTGGGTTGGAGCTTTCTGAGCAAAACAAATGTTTTAAAACTCTTTTAGTAGATTTTTTTTATTTACTTTTGGAGTCTTATCAGTGCATTATCACTGACTCTCAGCTACTACCACATAATGATTTAGATCAATATCTACAAAACTGGCTGAGTCATAGCCATTTCTGTGTTGCCTAATGTTGATTAGCTGAGGTGGCCATCTTGAATTACACAGAATCCAAGTTTGAATCTGAGCTGGGCAGGACCGTACAATGCAAAAATACCATTTTAGATATACAAATCATTCTTCTTCTTCTTTCAGCTATTCCTTCTTCAGGGGTTTCCACAGCAAGTCATCCTCCTCCATATCACTCTGTCCTCTGCATCTTCTGGCCCCACTCCAACTACCTCCATGTCCTCTAATTATGTCTATCTCCTCTTTGACCTTCCTCTTTGTCTTTTTCAAGGCAGCTGCATTTCTAACATCCTTCTACCAATATACCCACTGTCCCTCCTCTTGACATGTCCAAACCATCTCAGTCTGGTCTCTCTAAATTTATCGCCCAGTTGTTCAACCTGTGCTGTACTTCTGATGATGTCACTCCTAAGGAGAACTTCAGCATCTTCATTTCTGCCACTTCCAGTTCTTTTTCCTGTCTTTTTATCAATGTCTTTGTCTCCAGACCATACAACATAGCTGGTCTCACCACTGTCTTGTAAACTTTTCCTTTGACCTTTGTTGCCACCCTTTTGTCGCAAATCACTCCTGATATACAAATCATTACTCTCTGTAAATTTCAGTAAAATTAGTCATGCTTTTCATGAGATATTTTGCTGACAGACATGGACATAAACATTGTCGCCTGCCTTTTGGTACCAGCTGATAAGAAACTTGTTCAGTGTCCTTGTGTGTGATTTCATGGCTTTGAGACTCTGCTTGATCCCTTGTGTTTTCATTAGCTTGTAAGTTTCATGTGACCATGACAACCTCCCCTCTCTCCTTGTCCTTTCTCTCTCTCTCTCTTTTCCCTCAGGCAGCAGCAGCAGCCTTATGGGCTTCAGGACGTTCTAGACCCCAGCCTCCATCACACATCAAGCCTCCCTAACCCTTTTCCAAGTCTCTGTTTTTTTACACCGTTACTTACTCGAGCTCAACAGCCAGCGATTTGGCTACACCTCCTGTGATACAAACGAGATGACGAAGTCCTCCTACTGATCGACTGTGGCGCCTTTATCCAGCGCTGGCAGATCTCCGGCTTTGTAAATGTGACAGTGTGGACAGACGGCCACAAGGGGGCACCAAACGCAGCCACTTTGCAACGCTGGAAAAAAAACGGGAAGTGTGGCTAAAGCGCTATAGAGTAATGTTATTATAATAATTATTCTTACCCTGTATATCATTCATATCAATGTTATTATAATAAATACATTTCGAAGCATGATTTTTCAAAGACAAAAAAAAAAAACAATGCTGTAAATTTTTTAGATATTTTAACGAAACACGAAAAAGTATTTTTGTAATCAAGACAATGTTGAGATGTTTTGATTGGTTTGTTTCTGCTAAGACGTGTGAGGATTTTTCAGATTCTTTTGTTTTGTGCCATTAAAAACAACAAACGAGTAAAAATAAAATAATTAAAAAAAGCATCACCCTGCCACACCAAAGCAGTCCGGTTACTTTTTGATACCTTATCGTGTGGATTTGGATTTGCTCGTGTAGCTTTTTGAAAATGTCCGTTAGCAGGATTTTTAGCATCAAATGATAACTTGATCCAGATCATAATTTAGCTTTTTTTTTTCTTTTTTTTGTGGGGGTCATTATTTGATGTGTAAAAGAGGCGCAGACAGGAAAAAGCCATTGCTGGTGAACATAAAGTGACCCCAGAGGTGGCAATACTTTTTAAACTGACTTCTGCTATTAATAGGAGTTAGTGTAGCAAGAGGACAAAAACAAAGAACAGAGAAAAAAAAAACAAAAGACCAAAGTTTTTATTATTTTTTACACTGGAGAGCGAAGAAATATTCTGTTTCTGACTGCTTTGTAGTCGTCAGTCTGATTTCTTCTGAAGTGTGACTTTATTATTGCTGCATGTCCCTTCTGGTGTCACTCCAAAGAGCCCTTCTACATAAAAAAAAACCTCACTTGAAGCAATTCTTTTTCCCTTTTGTCTTTTTTTAGAAGTCCCGTGTGATTCAACCTGCTTTTGGAAAGTTTGAATTTACATATTAATGATTGGGTAAAATAAAATTAAAAAAACACTTTTTTTGTAACCGGGTGTCTTTCTGGGTCTGCAATACCGTCCTGATGTACCAATCACCAAGTGATCATAAATCTGTGACTGTTTGATGCCAAAATGATCAACCTTGTACATTTCTGGTTCCCTGTACCTTTCTGATAATGTCATATTAATGTGACAAATGTAAAAATAATAATAATAATAATAATGCTGTAAGAAAAAAATGAACAAAACATGATTCCCTGTTAAGGTGCGTAAAACCATCTTGGACTGGTTGAGTCATAAACATTTATCGGTGTCTTTAAGTGTTGAATAATAATATGCTTCATATAAAGATGTATCACATCTGCTGGTTTATTAAAGTTTTTAGGGTGTGTTTTTTATTTTTGCTTTTACAAATTTATGCCAAGTGTGGCGCCAAAATTTATTAGAACAAGTATTTATAGAATCTGTGTGTTTGTGTGTTTTCTTTTTGAAAAGTTAATAGAAAATTCCTGTTGTATAACTCTTTGTAAGTATTATTGTAAGTTTAATTGTATATTCATTTGATTTTTTTAGAGCTTCTTTGGTTTGTGGCTGTCTGGTTGGAATGGTCTGTGCGTGAAATGTGAATTCTGTTTAATTCACTGTGAAACTCTGAGAGGAAAATGCTTTTTGAACAAACAAATGGGTCTTTTCATGTTTTTCCCCCAACATCATGGTACAAAGGTTCCTGGAAAATTAATCAGATGATCCCTCCTTTTATCAATGAAATATATTTGACTTGGTTCAGTGTGTTAACTGTGTGTTGTGCATGTTCACGGCATGTTTGTTCCTTTTCCGCATACAGTACTATTGATACTTATGTACCTTAGCCGCTGTAAGGAAAAAGTGTATCATGAAAGTGTCAATGAATCGCAGAGACTTTTGTTGGTTCTAAAAAAAAGATCAAATTAAGTTTTTATAAAAATGTTGACATTTCAGTCCATCTGCCATTAAAGATTGACATCATAGGTGGTGGTGTGATTCCATTTTTTAAATGCAGAACAGGCTTAAATTCATTAATTCAACCTTTATTTAGACAGGTAAATCCCATTGAGCCTCGAGGACTCATTTACAAAAGAGACCTGATTTCAACAAAGAATGATAACAAGGATGGACAACAGCGACAACAAATAGTTTAAAAAAATCTGTATGCCTTTTTATAACAAATAGGATGGCTAAAAAAAGAAAAGTAACAAAAACCAGCTAGATTCTAAGGTGAATGTAGAAAAACTAAAAACAGGAACATGTCTGCATTGGTCCCTGCCAGGAATCCAACAGATTTTTAAAGCCACTTAGAGAGGTCATGGTCGAGAGCTTCTTTTTGTAAGATATTCTAGGAAACAGGAGCGGAGTAGGAGAAGGCCGCTTTTCCTAGTTCAGTCCATACTGAGGGAACACTGCAGGTAATAATGTCCTGAGAGTGCATGCTGTAACTGCACTCACGCAGAGACATGTAGGAGGAGATGTATGAAGGCAGCAGACCAAGAAGTGATTTAAAGATGAAAATGTACCAGTGGGAGAGTCTGCGTAAAGTTAATGATGTCCAGTTAACCAGTGAACACAGGGTGCAGTGGTGGGTACGATAATCACAGCCAGTTATGAATCTTAGTGCACCGTGATAGACAGCATACAACATCTGCAGGGTTCTTGTAGGAGCATTCATGTAAATAATGTCACCGTAATCAATGGAGGGAAGGAAAGTCACAGATACAAGGCGTTTTCTAGCATTCAGGGTTAGACAGGATCTGTTTCTGAAAAAGAAACCCAGTTTAACTTTCAGTTTCTTACTAGGTTTTCCACATGGAGCTTTAAAGAGAGATACGAGTTGACCAAGATACCCAAATATTTATAGGAATGAACAAACTCAATGGGGACACCATTTGAGGATGAAATCAGAGGAAGAACTGTTGGGACCAACTTCCTATTTGAAAAAAGCATCCCTTTGGTTTTGTCGGCATTTAGGACAAGTTTGAGGTGGAACAAATCTGTCTGGATGATGTCAAATGCAGATTTCAAAAGCTGGAAAGCCTTTTCAACTGTTTTAACTCGACAATAAACAACTGTGTCATTAGCATAGAAATGTATGGATGCATCAGGGATGTTTTTACCTACATTACTTATGTAGATTGTAAAGAGGGTGGGTCCTAAGACTGAGCCTTGTGGTACACCATGGTTGACTGTTAAATAACTGGAGGAAGTACCATTATGTTGAACACATTGCCTCCGGTCTAAAATATACATTTTGAAGCCTCAAAAACAGCAAAAATTTTGATTATTAATGTAACTCACTGTATCAAAAATCTTTTGGCAAATGATCCAAAAAAGGGCCTAAAATAATAATAAAAAAGTTTTTATGTTTGTGTGCATGCTAAGCTACTGTGCTAAACATAAGAAACATAATATAATACTCTTGAACTTTTTTTGTCTTGAATTGTTTGAATAATATAATACAATTTATATTTCTCATGTTTAGCATATTAGCTTAGCATGCATACATAAACAAAAGGGTTTCCCATTTTTAGGCCACACACACACCGGTGTGTTTATTCAGCTGGAC